AACATTTAAAAAAACTTCACATGTCTAATGGCAGGAGAAATGGGCTGGTAATCATGAAAACATTTATAGCCCTACAAGTAATTACTTATACATAGATCACAGCATAAATATGATCCAAGCCTCTAAAGCACATCACATCTACCCCATCTCTGCAGAGCAAGCTTCATATGGAGGGCTTCCGCAGTCTGAAGGAAGGAGAAGCTGTGGCGTTCACCTTCAAAAGGTCCTCTAAGGGCATATATACAGTATGTATATAGATCACTTTGAAAACATTTTTGTTTTTTTAACGTATTTCTTGAAGATTATAGGGTAAAATATAACCAGGACGTGTTCATTGTTTCTTGTGATTCTTCTGCATGTTCTGAGATATTGCTTCTGGGTTGTTTTGACACAATAGCTCCGGTTCTGACCAAATGAAGAGCATTTCCTTCCCCCACCCTGTGTGTTGGCGACTTGACCTGCTGGATCAATAGGTTGTTTATAATCTCATAGCTCAGAATTTAGGCTCACAGAGAGTCACCCGCCCCCACAACGGCAGAGGTTATCGATAAGCACCGTCCTCCGCTGCGTCTAATCACGCTGGTTGGCTGAGTGCAGATCCGGATCAAAGCGAGTGCAGCTTTCGCAATTGTGCATGAATGACGGTGATTGGTTTTGCAGTAGTAAATTTTTTCAGTTCTGTGAGAGACCACAAATTCAACATGTGCTAGCATAACATACTTTCTCCTGCTGTTTGTCATTGCTATTTCATCTCTCTGGATCTGTGTCTCCTGACGGAGGATCAGATCCTGTCAATTTAATTAATAACAGATGTAGGTGCCTGAGAAAGGTCAGAGGTGACTGCTGCCATGGCAACCCTGAGGTGTGATGTATGTGAGCGGGGTGAGGGTGGGCAGCAGGGATCAAAGTGCAAAGGTCACGCAACATATTGAAACAAAGAGCCAAAGAGATGGCCCACCTCCTCTACACCACACCTCCTTCCTCCGGCCCCCACAATATAGAGAGAGGATGGGCTTAAATGCACAGGAAGCTTTCATTTAAATTAATCACTAACCCAAAATGGTGACTTTTAGTGACATTTATGCATTGTACTAAACTCCTCTTAGTACATGGTGCATATGTAAATACAACATTATTTTGCGCCCTCTAGTGGTCTTTCCTGCAAATAACACATTTGTTTTCCTGCACTTTTTTGCAGATGCTTCAACTGTGGAGGGCCGAATCATCACGCCAAAGAATGCCAACTGCCACCTCAGCCGAAAAAGTGCCATTTTTGCCAAAGCATCACCCACATGGTGGCCAACTGTCCAATCAAAGCACAGCAGTTGTCCCCGGGATCTCAGGGAAAATCAACAGCCTCCACTACAGGAGAAGAAGAGGACATGAGCCACACCCCCTTCCCTCCCGACAGCTCTGATTAGTCGGGGAAGGTTGTCAGGGAAACACAAGCACCAATCAGAAAGCTGCTTTCGGAACTAACTCAGGTTTTTCTTCTTCAAACAGCAGAAATGAATGTCGCCGCTCACTTTTGTACTTTAGCCAGGAAATCTAAAACCAGATTACATTGATATTGAATGTTATGCTTAGAAAAATATGATCACTATCATATCCATCTTTATTGTTGACAGTCATCTTTGCGATCTGGGTATTCACACAAATGATTTGGGATGAACCAGATATTTCAGATGGATAATCATGAAATAGAGGGCAAATCTCACAAAAACATGTCCAAGTCAGAATTTCAGAAATTCCTATTTTATTATTTTTCATGACAATTAAGCACATTTTCTTCCCCCCAATCTTTTTAATTTTTTTTTACATTTGTCACAATGCTTGCATAAAGTTTGAATGATAATCCCTTTTTTCTATTGATTTTTGGGTAAAATTTTGTAGTACACTGTAAAAGAATTACTGTAAAAAAAACAGTTTTTATTTTAATTTACAGTTAAATTTACAGTTAAATACCGTATTTTCATTAACTGATATAATGTTAATATACCAACCTTATTGAAGTACTGAAATCTGTTTTGTACCTTTGTAATACATTGATAACCACCAAATGTAGGTGGTGATGAGAAAGTCACATGATGAACCAAAGCCCATCACAAGCAGCTTTTAAATTATAACATGTATAGAAGGTGCACAGCGTCATTCACACAAACACTAAACACCATCACGGTAACACACATGAAACTGAAATAATGCAATAAACATTCATTTAACAACATTAGGTGTGACACACAACCCTAATATACAAAACTGATAAGAAAAAACTAAGAAGAAACATAGTTGTTTCAACAAAAGAAACATCAAATTTTGAAATGTAACGCAGGGAATTCTGGGAATGTCAATTTACGGTTATTCACTGTAAATTATACGGTCTTTTACACTTCCAAAAATGGTATACTACTGTAAAATTAATGTCCAATACAGTTTTTCACCGTATATAGTAGGGGAATTTACCGTTAACTGTTAACAGGTTTTTACTGTAGCATTTTTACAGTCTTTTACCGTTAATTTTTTACAGTGTACATAAATGTGCTTGACCGGTTTTGTGAGATCTGCCCTGAGAGTGTGAAGCAAATGTGTGAGAAAGACTTTTATTTTCTGCCTTAGCTAGCAAAGTGTCTTAGATTTGTACAGAAACAATCAAAATGCATCATGTTTACATATGGCAGTAAGCCTGGATAGTGGTGAAACTGGTGAAATGCATCACTCTCTTGCTTTTTGATGGCAGTTGTCATTCACCTGTACACTGGAGAAATCATACTGACTTCCCTTTTTTTTTGTTTGTTTTGATTTAAAATGCTGTGTTAGTGCATATTTTACCGCAGCCTCTCTGTATCATCAGTGGACATATTTTGACTGCACTGTCATCAGTTAGGTACTATAAGAAAGACACGGTGGCTTTCTTTGATTATTTAATGCTGTGCAATTGTAACAAAGTCTTGCTCTCATTTAAAGATATGGGAAATTCGAGGCAATGACCTGAAGAAATCGACCAGATTCCCAACCAGAGCCAAGACAATAGCACATATTTTTATGATAATCTTGTTCCTCTTTTCTTATGTAAACGTCATATGAGACACTAATGATGTATCAGGTTTGTTGAAGAGGAGATCCTGACTTGATCTCACTTTATTGTAAATAACTGTAAACTTTTTTTTTAAACCACTGTTATTTATTTGTAGTCATTCAAACTGTGATGTTGCGATGGACTCAGTTTGCTCTCAGTCATAAGAGCTGAATCGTTCGGCTAATTATTTCATAGTTTAATAATGTTTTTAACTGTAGTAGGGAGTTGATTGACAGCTGGCGACTGGGATTCACAGTGTAAACTAAAGCAATAAGCCCTGTGAAGCTGTGGTTTACAGTGAATTTATAACAGCTAAGGGGCATTGTTAGGCATGACGCGAAGCGGAGTTAGCTGTTATAAATTCACTGTAAACCACGGCTTCACAGGGCTTATAGCTTTCATAAAACAGTTAATCCATATACATAGTAAGGTTTCACAGAATAAAACTGAGCAAATAAAGTGTAATGATATTAATAAAAACAGTATTCTTCCACCAAACAACGTAGTTCCTCAGAAACAGTTGTGGTTCCAACAAAGTGGTTGTCGAGCAACACACAGAAGTAAACAAAGGTGTATGTTTGTAGAGTAATGTACAACAGCTTCAAACCAATCAGAATCAAGGACCGGAACTATCCGTTTTATAAGAATGATTTTGTGACGCACTAATTTTTATTTATGGCCTTTCTTTTTCTAAAAACACTGATTTCAGAGTTTTAACATTGGATATGATTTATCCCCATGACTGCTTGAAGTTCATGTTTGTTCTGGTTTTGACGGAGAGCAACTGAGCTGTCAAGCTTCACTGTGTTTGAGGAAAGCATCTAGTCTTTGCCAGATGGAAGTGTAATTGTGTATACTTCAAGCCTTTTTGTATATTTGACATTAGTCCTCAGACTTTCAGAAACTCAGTGAAAAAAAATAAAAAATACACATTTGTACCATTTCTTACAGCAAAGCACGAACCAGTTTGGTTTCAAGCAGAGAATGTGTTGAGCACAGGTTGAATGGCACAATGGTTAGTTAAACCTCTAAACTAACAGCGCGTCACTGCTCCACAAGAGTGTTTTGCTGATTTATTTTTTTTTCCTCTGAATAATCTGAAGTGTTTTCGTATGTTATTGCATGGGAGTATGTGTTAGAGTAGTTGAATATAGTGTCTGGTGGATGGCTCTCGCCTCAAACAACTCGTGGAAAAGTTTTCAGTTTGAGGGATGTGAAGGTTTCTTTCTCATTGGTAAGCTTGTATTCATGCCATTATTGTATATTCATTTCAATATTTTATTGTATTGTTTCTTTTTAATCTTTATTTAACGTGAGAACAAGATACAGAACTTGTTTTGAATCTATACAAATCTACCTCAGGGTGTGTTGAAATATATGAAATGGACATGTTTCCAGAACATTGTCCATTTAAGTGTGTGTGAGAGAAATGTGTGCATGCTTTAGTTTTATGTATTTTTGGACATGCGATCGTTTGCCATGTAGCTGCACTGACTCAGTTTTGGTCAAATGTGTGTGTATTTTTTGGTTTACATTTAGACCAACTCGCAAGAGAAGTGCAACTGTAATTTTGCTCCAGTTGACTTATTATTTTACTGTAATGTACCCTGAGATTAACTCAGGACTATGTTAATTATTTCTTGTTGGGTTCTAATTAATGAAGAGGATAATCAATGTTGGTGACCTTGATTGTTTTATTATTCTAATTGTTGCTCAATGATGCGCAGGGCTCCAGATGCTGCTTAAATATGAAGCCCTGCTCAGGTTCAGTTAGTGTTTCCTTCAGTCATCTTGTGCTGTCATTCAGGTGCGGTCAGGACTGTTTGTTCCACTTTTTGTGTGATGAAGGCAAATGCGTTTAGTGTTCCAGTGACCAAAGAATGTAGCCACATTGAATATGGCAAACAGATGGCATGGAGCTCGGATGATGGAGTGATCCATGTTGATTGGTTTCAGAGAGAACGGTTTCATGTTCAGGTCATCGTGACAAAGCATGCCAAGAATGTTGTGCCCAAAAATGTGCTTTAGTGTTAACATTGACAACTGCTTTCTAGTGAATAAATATCTTTTTATGATTATGCTGGCATTGTTTCTTTCACAGGTGGTTTGATTGTGTGGCACATTGATTAAAGAAGATTTTTTGAAAATGTGCTGAAATTTTACTTGACCACAGGCCATCCATGATGTAGATGAGCTTGTTTCTTCATTGGAACAGATTTGGAGAAATGTAGCATTCTTCACAAGATGCAATGCTACATTTCTCTAAATCCGTTCTGATGAAGAAATAAACTCATCTAAATCTTGGTTTGTTGGATTATGGAAATAGTAAATATATATATATATATATATATACCGGTAATGCAATACACACACACACACTATGCATGTATTACAGATATGTAAATGCA